CAACAGTGACAGCGCAAGTCCACACATGTGATCCTAGTTGAGCCATCCCTCCAACCTACTGTTTAAGCCACTCAAAGTGACACTGTGTGAACCAGCCAGGATGCCCCCATGAACTCTATCCAAAATGCAACACCTTGGGCAAATGATAAAATCATGGATGTTTTTAGTCACTACATCTTGGGCTTGTCTTGCAACAATAAATAACAGAAATGCAAAACTTTCCATATGCATAAAATATGCAAAACAGGAGAAAATCATGCACATGAAATGTTTGGAAAGGATTAGTCAAAAGAGTGGATCAGTTGATTGCCATGGGAAGACAGGGAAGGATGAATCAGAACCCTGCCTTCAATCTGGATGAAGATTAATTCCAAAGAGTATTTGTGCACTTCTGTAAGACATAAGACACATCAGACAGACTGGCTTTCATCATCTTTTTTGATCTACATTGCAGGTTGTAGGGACAGAAAAAGAGTAGGAGCATAAATAATGCATATTCATCATGTAAAAATTCTAAAGTCTAGAGAAGTAAAAAGAGAAAAAAATCTAAATTATTCCACATTCTCATTATATGGAGATAGCCACAGACAGTTTATATTCTTCTAGGGGGTTTTCCACATCTGGTGGTAATCATTTAAAATGGACTCATATTAATAGTTATTGTAATAATTTTGTCTCAGGTGACACTATATCATGAACAGCTTTTCATGTCTGTCAATAATGTGCATCTTTGGCCACATTTTATTTTATCTGGTGGAGAAATGCATTCCATTATTTGTTCAACATACAGTGCTCTTTATTGCTGGGCATCATGGTTGCGTCCAAGTTTTCCACATTGAATGCATCAATGAATATCTTTGTAGCTACATTATCACACACATATTTAATCTTTTCCTTTGAACATATTCTGAAAAGTGGAATTACTTGGTAAATAAGTGTGATTTTAGTGAAGGCTTTTGGTTTGAAACTTCAAATTACTCTCAAGAAGGGAATGATCACCATGATCACCACCCCCACTGGCACAAGAATGACTAGTCTGCTGCTCATCTGTGGTAATATCACCCTAACTGTAGGTAATATCACCCCATTTGGTTTTCATAGAATGTACAGGTTTTTGAAAACCGTGAGTGTGGCTGCTGAAGAACACATGTGTGCCAGCTCCAAACAGCAAAACTGTCTTGGAGGAAGGGGAGAAGAGCCTGCTAGTAAACACATTAGGTTTTGTGGTCCAACAGGCAAAACTGGGAAGATTATGAAGGTACTGATATAACCATGCAAAAATCTGAAAAATCATTCTCAGTTCAAGGCTATTCAGAAACAGGTAGCAGGCTGGCTTGGCCCACTGAGCAGTTTGCTGATGGCTGCTCTAAGCTGCAGCTTCTCCAGCTGGCAGAAATTCATGGGTTGATTTTTTTTTTTGTTGTTTGTTTGTTTTGCAGAAGTTGGAGTTTTGAGTCAAAACCAGGTCATTCTTAGGGTAGACCTTTTCACAAAAGTCCCCCGTGAAGAAATTTACTTGAGTCTTAGGTCATAACCATTTGTGGATTTTATTTTGTGACTTTTTGGGGGACTATCGGGGATTGAACTCATGACTTTGTGCTTGCCAGTGCGTATGCCACTGAGCTAAATCCCCAGCCCCTTTGTGTGACTTATTAAAAACCCCTCACCCATAGCTTGGCTGAATGGATGGGCCATGTGCAAGAATGGTCACATAAATGCACTTGGGGTCCAGAGCAATTTGGTAAATGTTCACTTCTGGTAAGAGATGGGCTCTTTCTTATTGTGCATTTACAAAACCAAGTGCTTTTTCCCCATAGAATTTATTATGTACTTGTAAAGCATACAAAAAGGTACTAATGTGCTCACCCTAGAAAGAGAACTTGTAATAGTATAGTGGGTATTTTCTTTGTCAGTGTGTGTGTGTGTGTGTGTGTGTGTGTGTGTGTGTGTGTGTGTTTAAGAGACAGTCAGACAGAGAAAGATAGAGACAGAGACGGAAAATCAGAGACAAAGAAGACAAAGAGAGGAAGAGGAGAAGGAAGAGAAGGGAAGGGGAGGGAGGAGAGGGGAGCACAGGGGAGGGAAGAGACATATACTCCAAAACTGAGATTATATTTGCCTATAGTGTAGCACATTTTCCTGGCCATGAGGTATGAACATCATTTGTTAGCCGATATCCTAACCCAGAGATTTGCACTTTTTAAGTGAATTCCCAGCTAAGGGACATAAATATCTAACAAAGCTTAAAAGGAGGAAGAATTGGTTTTGGTTCATATTTTCAGAGGTTTCAGTCCATGGCTGGCTGTTCCAAAGCAGAAGCATCATTGCAGAAAGATGTGGCAGAGAAATGATATTGAACTCCTAGCAGCCAGGAAGCAGAGGGAAAGAGGAAGAACCCAGGAGGAAAGGTCCAGGGACCAGACATGGTCACACGCTCGTGACCCACCCAGACACACTCAGAAGTTTGTTTTACTATTCTAGGAATTTCTCAATCCAACCACTTTGACAATAAAAATCAATCGCCATAATGAACATCCTTAAATGTAAGGCTTCTTTACATCTTTCATTACTTCCTTAGAATAGATTCCAAATGTAGGAGTTACTGTTCAAAAGTAGGAGTATCTCATGTCTTTTATACACGTTTTTGTGCATTTCCAGAAAGGCTGCCCTAACTTATGAGAGTGAACTATGAGACTGTAATCATATCCTTAAGAAAGTTATATTATACAAAACATAACTTTAACAGGTATAATGATCCTAGTTGTTTGTTTAAATAGTATTTAATTTCTGCTATGTTTACTATTTTTGCACGTGCATTTTCCATTTGTATTTCCTTTGTGAAACATACATTCATATTCCTTGACTATTTCGCAATTTTTCCCATTTTCCTACTGCTCTGTAACCACTCATTAAATATTAATGAGCTTAAGGTATTGATTAGGCATATTTTGTACAACATGTCGCTCTTCTGGGATTTTTGTCTTTTGATTTTACTCAAGGTATCTTTCTAGCATAGTTCTGCGCATTTCTGTGTTAAGCCGTAGCAAGCTCTTGCTCTGTGAATGCTCTCTTCGCTTTCATGTTTGGGAGGTTTGTTTCCAGGATCACCCCTAACCCGTAATACCTTTGAAGTTCCTTCCTTAATGGATTCGTATTTTATATTAAATTCTTTAAGCCATCTGGAATTAATTTTGGTCTAGGTTGAAGTAAGGGATCTGGCTATCCAAAGCCAATCATCTGCTCTGGCCCTATGGAATAATCCTCTCCAAACTTGTGATGTGCGTGACTTCCTCCCACTTTGCAGTATTGGAGCAGAAGTGAGGGACAGGAGGGAGGCAGGAGGGAGGAGGGCAGGAGGAGAGAATCCACAGCACCACGCTTGGTGCCACAGAGACTTTTGTCTTCAAGAAAGCGATACTCACGTGTGATCCCTGACAACACACTGAAAATCCCCACACACACTGCCAACCCCAGAGCTGAATCCTCAGCCAAGAACTGAGTTATTGACCAGGGCCATTTCCCGCTCTACCCCTGAGCCCTCTGGCACAACTCAGGCTTAAGCTGAATTATCAACTCGGGTGTGGGAGGCAGAGTATATAGGTTCCTCACCCACATGGATACCAGTGTGCCTTAGGGAAGATTGCACTGCCTTAGGTGAACATTCTAGATGAAGATTGCCCCTCCACCCTCCCATACAAGGGGATCAAACTATACAGTGGCTGTTTAAATTTTTGAACATTTTTATTTCAGCAAAAGAAACTTGCCATTAGTTTCTCTTAGAACACCCCTCCCCACTGTTGCTTCCAACACTCTTATCCCATGTTTTGTCACTTTCAGAAGCAATTCTGAAGTCTTCCGGGAGGGTCTTTACAAGGTGTGATCCAAAATAAGATGACTACTGCTACCAAGAGCCTTCCACAGGAAAGGCAGACTCATAAAAAGCTTTCAATCAGCCTCCTTCTTCACCAGGTTGGCGCCATGCAATGTGTGGCTCTTCCCCAAAGTCAGGTAAATAATTTGAACTGATCCAGAACATTGAGGCAGCCACAAGAGCACAATTAAAGACACCCGTGAAAGAGGACTTCAGGACTGCTTCAGAAAGCGCTAAGAACAAAAGAGTAGGTATGTTTGAAGTGAAGGTGAGTATTTTGAGGGGGTTTAATAGCAATGTGTCCCTTATTATAATGTATTTTTTAATAAAAAAATGTTCACTGTATTTTTAGAACATCTTACATGTGTGTAAATAGATGTTCACGACAAGAATTTTCAGTTATGGTTCTTATCACCCTGTCTTGGTGACCAGACCCTAGGCCCCTGCCCTGGAGGGCTCTGAGCTCTGCCTGCTGGTTGCTGTAGCCATGTTATTCACTGATGTATTTACAGTGTGTTCAGACTTCCGCCACGACATGCACAGCCCCTGCCTTCCCTTTAGGGACTCACAGCCAAAAATCACATGTGGCCAACAGATGTTGCTACAGTTTGGCTTTTGAGTGCCCCTTCTCCAGGCCCATGCATTACAGGCTTCATCCTCAGCGTGGTGGCGGTAACTCTGAGGGGCGGGGCCTAGTGGGAGGTCTTTGGGTCATTGGAGGTATGTCCTCAAATGAGACTATGGGACTCTTCCTCTCTCGCAGTGAGATTAACAGACCATGAACTGAACCCCCTAGAACTGTCAGACAACATAAACATTTTCTCTTTATAAATTGATTTTCTTAGGTGTTTGTTATAGTAATAGAAAGCTGACTGCCACTGATGTTTTGTTGTTACTCTGGGGAAGAGGAGGGTCTGTGGGAACTCTGCTTGTCGCTATGACCCAGAACCTGCCCACTAACCCTATGACCATTTACTGAGTTGATATTTCTGTAGGACCTGTGATGTACCCATAGCTGAAGCATTAGGGGAAAGGAGGGCAGACACTCTATAAATAGGTGGGTTCATAAGTGCTGTATGATTACATTTGGTTCTTTTTTTTCTGTGTATGTAAACAGAAAAAAATTATACATTCCTTCCTGCTTAGGTTTTTAATTACATTGCCAGTCTGGGCAAGAATCTGCTTAACCCCCAGAAAATGGCAGCCCTGGATGTCAGCTCTGATGCAAACTGCTCTCCCTGCCACAGCATCCTGCCTCAGTTTCCCTGTCATGTTCATGGTGCTTCAACCTGATAGGTCAGTGCATCATGACCTGCTGTCTTCCCCTACTCGCTGCCAACTCCCCGTGCATCTATTCTCGTGCATTGTGCACTGGCTTTGCTGTTCTGTCTCGTGGCCCTTACTCCATTTGCAGCTGTTACCACAGAACACTGTGGGTTGAGCCAGATAAAGAGATTTCTTTCCTCTTAGTTCTAGAGGCTAAGAAGTTCAGTACCAAGGCCCAGGAAACTGGTGAAGGGTCTTCTAGCTGTGTCATCAGGTGGTGGACTGTGTCACATGGTGAGTAAATACATACATGAGACGAACATAATTGGGCCAAATTCTTTCTTTTATCAGGAAGCTGCCTGGGGAACAAACCCATTCATGAGAGGCTGGAGGAGGATCAGCAGAGGGCCATGGGTAATGTCCTCAATTAATCATCTCTTAATACCATTAGAATGACAATTAATTTTCAATATGTGCTGTGGAGGGGACATCCTGAACCCTAGCAGACATCATGCAGCTTTCTTCCCTTTCTGTTCAGTCATCTTGCCACTTGTGTGCTGCTACAGTGTCTGCCCAACCCCGAACACCTTCTACTCCTCGTACAGTTACATTTGCAAACTCATTTGTGTAAGATGCAATTTGCCCTCAGCCCCAAGGAGGACAGCCACATCATAAATATAATAGGGTGTGATGGTTATTTACCATACACGGCCATGGATGTACACAGATGACTTACCAGAGGGGGAAAGTCACTTCTGCAAAGATTTGCACGTTAGAATTATAACCCTTAAAGCAAAGGCCTTTGCTTTATTACTCCTCACCTTCTTGCATACTCAGTATAATTATTATTGATGTTTTGAAGGAATGCTTTCTTTTTCATACCAAAGAGAGATCCTTGTTTATTACAGAGAGTTTGCTTCAAGAACAACGAAGGAAAGCTTTGGTGTTTCTGCTTTCTGTATCCCCAAGGATGCATGGAAGGTGGTTGGCCATCTATTCATGAGTCTCTGAGGTATGCACAGAGAGAAACAGAGGTGAGACATTTTCAAAAGCTTTCTCTTTTCGGTGGACTCCAATCTCATCAGTTCAAAGATTTTCCATCTGCCCACTCTTCAGCTCTTCCTCTTTCTCAAAAGGCCCAGGTGAGCTAGCCCTGGAAACCAGCCAAAAAGAAGTCACAATACCGAGAAGAGAGCTAATGACAGCAGCTGCCATTCTGTCTCCTAGGTGCCAGGAGCAGTACTTGTGTGTCATGTAGATCGCTTCATTTCCCTTCACAGAAGCTGACTGAGGCGGGAACTCCTTTTTACATGCATTTTACAGACAGGCAACTGAGGATCAGAGAAATGAAGTCACTATCACATAGCCAGGAAGTGGTAGAGCTGGGGTTTCAACTCTCTTTTTGGCTCTGCAGTCCTAACTTTTGGAGCTCTTCTGCCTCTACCCTGGGAGCTTTGTACCTGAGGTGGTTGCACAATGCCCAGCAGGACACACAGCATCTGTTAAGTGCCCCCTGAATATTTTAGTGAGAGTTGTTATTGCTGGGGTTTGTGATCTGCTCCTGCTCTGGCTTTTCCTGGCCATGTTCTGTGAGGATCCTGGCTGTGTCCCACCAGGGTCCTTGGCTTCTTCTTCTAGCATTTAAAGCCACTTGATGTGTGCCTTTCGGCAACCCCATGTTTGCAAGCAATGCTAAGCTGATGGCAGTGAACGTGAAGCCCCTTCAGATGGACCGGGGGGCCCTGTTTCTCTGGTTTATACACTTTGGACACTGACCCTTCTCTCTTTCTCTTGCCTCTGTCTTTCCAGCTGGGGTCAGCCTTGGTCTAACTTCACAGCCTTTCAATTTTCATAGCCACAGGCCGCTCTCTGGCCAGCCCAGAAGCAGAGGTGCAGCTTCCTGTGGACCCTGCTTTTTCTGTGGCTCATCTTTTTGGTGGGACCCAGCTCTGGCAAATCCATTCTGCCTGGGATTGTCACCTTTTGTGGGTCAACATAAGTCAGAGCTAAGGGTCCATCACACTTCTGAACACACATGGGGTCTCTAGAATTCCAAAAGAAAAGGGGATGAGTTCACTGGACAGCTGAAGGGAGAGAAGCAGGGCCTGGGGAGGAGTTGGGGAGCAGAGCACGGGGAGGCACCTTGGGCAGGTAGGAGGGTGGCAGCTTGGGGAAGGTTGGGAGTGGCCCCTCTCTGTACTTTGTGCCTGTCCTCGTGGTATCTATCCTGTTTCCAGGATAGATCTCACCTCCCTTCAGAGAGGCTCAGCAGGGCTGCTCTATGCTGGAGCCTGACTGACCCCTGCTGAGTGGTGATTTACAAGCCAGGGCCACATGCTGAGAAGGGACATTCAGTTTCCTAGGTGTTGACACAGCCTGCATAAGTGATCCTTGCTAAGAGGGAATCTCCAGGAGAGTTATTAAAGTGCAGATTCCTGGGCTGACACCCTCTGCCCCAGAATCTGATCAAAAGTAATCCGTGCATAGTGTGGGTGCTTGCTTTAGTGAGAATGACAATGAAAACTAAAGTGACTAGGAATGTCTAGGCAAAAACTTTCCCTGGAAAGTGAGAGAAGAGAAGAGAAAGCTCCAGCTGGAGTAGCAGCTGAGGAGAGCCCTGCGATGTCTTCATCAGACCAGTCCATTCATAAAAGCATGGAGATAGGTTTTCATGGAGTGCCATGGAGGACGGGGATCCAAATGGTTATTATCTCAGTTCTGGTTCTGAGGCTGTGGAGGAGACCTCATGGCTTCAGGGCTGATTCTGTTTCCATAAATGACTGTACCTGCTTGGAGCAGTTTCAGTCATCAGAGGTTCTGCTTTTGCTGGAATCCAGGCCATCACAGATTTGCACAAAGACTGGAATCTGTGAAGCATCACTTGGGGCTTCTGAAACTGGGTGATGGAAAAGCTGGCAATCAGGTGTCCCCAGAAGTCTTGAAAATGACTTGAGTTCCTCTTCTCCAGGCATCCTCTGTCTTGAAGGGGGATGAGCTAATCTAGGTAAATTTAGGGCTAATAAACTTGGTTCTGTCAACTTTTCTTATGCGATTCACACACCTGCAGCCAAGGTTTTAATGGCTACAAAATGAAAGTGTTCTACTTTTAGTGACTCATTGTAGTCGGTCCTTAAGCCCAAGGGGAAGGCTAAAGGTGATGGTAAAAACTGCTTGTAGTCCCCAAATGCCTCAGAAGAAAACACAAATCATGCTTTTGATGAGTAACAGGAGACCAGAAGTGCATCCGTCCTTTGTCCTTGCGGTGTTCTCAGACTATGTAATGTCGCTGGTACTTACTCTGCCAAGTGCTGCTTCACGCCCTTTGTGGACGTGAACTCCCAGAAACCGCATGTCCTATAAGGCAAGCGCCACTCCAGTTTTTCTCATTTCACAGATGGGGAAACAGACATAAAAGGGATGGGTAACTTGGATTGGTCACACAGCCACCAAGTCACGGAAGTAGCATTTGAACCCAGTCTGGTGGCTGCAACACCCTGTGCCAGGCCACTCTGAGAGGTGCTGTTCTGGAGAGGGAAGCTGCCCACCCTCAGGAATTCCAACCCACTGGGCCAGCTGCTGCTCACCTGTTAGCTGTGAGCATACAGGAAAGGCTGGTAAGCTATAGAATACATCCAGGCATTTCTTGGCTAGACGGCCAGCTCACTGCCTTCTGAATCACACAATATTGTCTTCTAAACCCTAGAGGAAGATTTTTAACCTGTTTAGGAATCAATGAGTCCTTTTAAAATATGGATTCTGTGCACAGAACCCTGCACGCACTTTCTATGTAGCAGCAAGAACTGCCAGAAACCCCAAGGATTCCGGGTGGAGACCCCATCCACCCACGTTACTTTTCTCTCAATCATGATTTCCCCTCGCCCTCCTCCTTGTCTCTTTTAAAATTCTCAGAAAGAAAGAAAACATACCTAGGAAATTATTTGATTGGAGCCAAGTAATTAAAGCTCAACTTTTGCTTCCTTTGGTATTGACAAACATTCATCTGAATTAATGTACTCATTATCAGACTGGAGCCTGGGGCTGCCGGGGAGATTGAGTCAGAAAACCACTCAGGCCGTGAAAGAACATCACTTGGTGAGCCAGGGCTTCTTATTACTAAGTGACTCTGCTTGGGTATCTGAAAAAAGATTCTCTCTGGCAGCAGATGTGGGATTCAGGGTTTTTGTTTTTTCTCTGAAACTAGCTTGTGCCATTAAAGTTAGGGCTACATTATTGTGTTTCTCAACAAATGTTCTTTTCCTACAATTAGACCAGTTGAGAAACATCTGTGACTGTTAGTTTTGTATGTTTACTTGACCTGGCTACAGTACCTGGTTAATTAATCCATCATCCAGGCGTAGCTGTAGAGTTTCATAGTTGCGGGGAAATCTATAGCCCTAATCCTAACCCTAACCCTAGCCCTAACCTTAACCCTTAAATGAAGGACATTGTCTTCCACAGTAGGGGAGAGGGCTCTCAAACAATCCCTTGAAAGCCTACAAGGAAAGATTTAGACTTCCGAGGGAAGATGTAATTTCATTTCAAAACTACAACACCTTCCTCTTGCCTAAGTTTCCAGCCTGTTGGAAGATTTTGAGCTTGACGGTGCCCCCAACTGCATCAGCCTACACTTTATAGCAAATCTCTTTGGGCAGGTGATAAATAGATGGATGCATAGACAGACAGATGGATGGAATACAGAATATGAGGTATCGTAAAAAAACTATGACAAATCTTTAAATTTTGAAAATGAATTAAAAGACACATTGCCATTAGTCCTCTTCAGAATATTCCCCCTGACTCAGAATGTTCCCATCTCATCATTCTCGCCACTTTCTGAAGCAGGTCTGGAGGTCCTCATTTGTGAGTCTATTTTATCGTGCTGTTGTGGCTGCTGCTATGGCCTGAATCCATTCAGAATGTTCACCGTTCATAATCTTTTTAACTTTGGAGAAGAGTCAGAGAGCAGACAGTGCCAGGTTGGCGGAATAAGTGGGTGAGGAGGCACTGAGATATTTTTATGAGCTTGCCAGTCTGCTGAATGACACTCTAGGGCAGTGTTCGGAGCATTTTTTAATGACTCCTTGTGAAAGTTCTTTGTCTTTCTCATATGCACGCACATCTTTCCCATTGGTTCTGTTGTCTTGAGAATCCTGACTAATACACACTCCAAAGAGCCCAGTTGTCTGTGTGATGACAATTTCCTTATAACGAATTAAAGCTCTGTGTGTTTTTAAATGTCACACCTGCTTTCCACACCTCATGCTGAAGACCTCCTGGCCCCTGGGGGAGCTATTGAATTGAAGGCAGAGGATCAATTGTTTTCTTAGTTTTACTGGGCACCAGTGTTGTAGGAGTGAGAGAGATGTGGGGTAAAGAGTTTGTTTACAATGCAAACTCTCAGACTTCTCTTTTCCAAAGTTCCAAATCTTTGGATCTGTGCCCTGAAGTCTGTGTTTTGACGTCTCCCAGAGACATTCTGCTACAGGGACCCTTTGAGAAATGTAGTTTACAGGGTGGCTTCTACCTCCACACCAGACCAGTCCCAAGTCATCTACCTCTGAGGATCTTTCCCTGAGGTCCTTTGAGCTCCAAAGCTGGGACGGGAGAATCCAGTCTCCACTGGCTGGGCCTGGTTAAGAAGATCGTGCCCTGTCCTGTCTGTGCCTGTTGAAGCCCCAGTGCTGAATGCCCTGGAAGGACACATCAGGCTGCTGGGCTCTCACAGTGCAGCCATTAATCTCACAAATTCGCAGGCCAGGCTGTCTAGCGTTCCAATCCCACTTGGCCTCTTATTAACCATTCCTACCATGGCACGCCGTGTGATTTCTCTTCTCCTGCGATCGCAGAACCATCCAATAGAACAGAGTGAACATGCTTAATCAGCCAACTCAATAGCTCTTTTGATTCCCCCCTCTCACTGTTCAAATCACAGTTTCAACAATAAAATATGAATTTCTTGGTTTTAATACCCTGGAGGCATCATAGTTGGATATTGATTTCAACCTCCATTCATGGTGCAAACCTCACTAAGTAG